TGCGTAATTCAGCAACACATTTATTTCGGTAACTGTTTAAATGAGACCGATTTTCAGTTTGATTTTCTATAAGTTTTCATTGAAGAAGCTTTCAACTTTAGGAGATGTATTATAGAGGCATTCAACCATGGAATTTTATTTTTCCAGACTGGAACTTTACAAGTTGAAATATATTTTTCCTGTATTGTCTCCAACTTATCATAAAAAAATGACAAAATGCGATTTGGATTTGACAGAGAAATACCCTCATTCCAGTTAGTATTCTCAATCTCAGCATGAAACATGGGTAACTTTGATTTTGGAATCCTTTTAATGMAATTATGCACATGACCTGTAGGTTTCTTAAGGTTTTTTCTAATGACATAAATAAGTGAATGATCCGAGATTGAAGTATTTATAACTCCAGATATGCTATATACGGAGGATCAATTTGTGAAAATAAGATCCAAAATGGAATTGCATGTCTTGCCAAATCTTGTTGGTACTTTAATTAACCGTTGAAGCCCTAAGTWTATTAAAATTACAAGTCAGGATGCAGAAGGATTTCAAAAGAGTTCAGTTAACTTCATCACTCAGTAGTAAGTAAGTAAATAAATTTTATTTCTATAGGACTTTTCACAGAGGGTAAAATGATTGCCATATAATTAAAAGAAATCCTGGAGAACAAGGTGATGGTGTTTGCAAAAGAACTGTGTGCAGTTTCTTATTTCTTGATGTTATTTTTCCATTATGTCAAATCAGTACAGAAAACACCAAATCCACAMAAAACACTGTCACCTCAATGTTTGTCAGCTAGAAAACCTGAGATCATTAAGGGTTAACATGTTACATCATTAAACACTTCACAAATAAATATTTAGATTTTGTTCAGCGTGGGTGCTGCTAATGTAATCAGTGATTTAAGTTGTCATGACATGTTTATGATACAAGAGGAAAACAGTTTTCTTTTTTCTTCTTATTCATGTTGAATCAGCTCCGGATGAGTCAGACGGAGTTTCCCAGTGTTGCATTCCTACAAGAAGGAAAACGAGCCTGGATAGTTTCTCTCTCTGTCTTGGATCAAGATGTCAGCCCCTAACAGTTTTTTTTTTTTTTATTGAGCTAGTCCTCGGCTGATTGTTCAAAGAGAAAAGTAGGATTTGAGTGCTGAATTCGTTTATGGATCACAGCCAGTGCACAACTTTAAGTTGAATGGTACACGTCAAAACAAACAGAATGTAGAAATAAACTTTAAAATATACAACACTGAACATGACCCTGAAGCTCCAGCACTGGTATGATATACAACAGATTTCACTTCTTGGAAAAGAAAGAGGAACAAAATGGCTGAAAGGCAGATGTAAATACATTAAATGTGGTGCATGGCAGCCCCGYYTCTGTCAKTGTCCCCCAGGGCAGCTGTGGCTGGAGCTTACCACTCACTATCAGTGTGAATGGGTGAATGCCTGAAGTGTAAAGCACCTTGGAATTCACGGACTTGAAAAGGCGCTATTTAAGTTTAAGCCATTCACCATTGAAAATAAGGCCAAAGTGAATGCTTTACAAATTATTTGAGGAGTATTTTTGTTTTGTTCTGTTCTGTTTTGTCTGGCTTCATGTTTATTGTCTCACTATAATTTCAGTCCTGGTATATGTGGTAAAACTTTGATTTCCTGTTCGCCGCAGCTCCCCTCCATCTTGAGGACACCTAAGGGTGTAACCTCACCCACAACCCACATTGAGTCAACACTGGACCATTAGATRGTTTTCTGGAAAGAAATGCAAAATTAGGATGTCTGTCTTCACAAACCACAAAAAGAAAAACAAAACAAACTTAAAAAAAAAAACTGTAACCCAACTGGAAAATCTTTGACAGAATCCTATTTTACCTCTGAGTCAGAAGCAMCAGACACTCTGCAAGTAGTTGTTTTGATTCCTCCATGACTCAGTGTTTTTCTGATTAGTCTGAGATTTAAATGCATTGCAAAAATGCAAAAAGTTCTACGAAGCATGCTGTATGTTTTATTTGTCACTTTATGAACAAAACATTTTATTTGTATTTTCAGTATAATTGGAAGTCATAAATATTTTTATGAAAAGCCCATTCACAACAACTGAACATAATTACATCACATCACAGCACATTTACAACTCTGCTATATGCCAAAAGTTAAAAGCTTGGCTCATYAGCTTTTTCTCAAGCATTGAAAAGCTTCTCATTTTTACAAAAACAATAATTATGTTAAGCAATAATCTGATAAAATAAATAAAGCAACTTCACCCGGAAGAAACATTTAGGCCATGCATAACTGACATAATCACAGCAATAAAGCTCAGTTAAATAGTGACAAGTTTAAATTCTTTAGACAATATTTAAATTGTTTTCCTGAGCAAAAAAAATTATAGTACAGCTTTTTTTAAAAGTCCATTTTAGGAAGAAATGTTCAATTCTGAGAGTTGGTTAACACCAATGTTTTGAGAGTAGAAGATAAGTTTGAGCGTGCGGACTCAGAGTTTGTTCTTTTAATTCTCCACTGCTTTATGAGTTCCTTGACCTTTTTTCTGAAGTTCTTCCCAACAATAACATAGAGGATTGGGTTGAGCACGCTGTTGAAGAAGCCCAAGTAGGTGAAGAACTGGTTGCAGATATCCAAGAGATTAGAGAAGTGACACCCTGTCAGGAGCTCAACTTGGGACAGCATATTCAATATGGTAATGAGGTGGAATGGCACCCAGCATATGAGGAAGGCCAGGAGGACTACCAGGATCAAGGTGGTGGCCTTCTGCTCTGTTTTCTCAGCATTGAACCTCTCTATTCTTTGGTTTTTTAAAGCCTGAATGATCCTCAGCGTACAGAAAGTGATGATCGAAATAGGAACGATGAAACTAAAAATCATCAACATCCCGTCACAAATCAGTTCTACAGTTTTGCTTGGATATTCCAAATAGCATGCATGAACAYCATACTCTGGGAAATATTTCACTTCTCTAAATGTAAATGTGGGTATGCTCAGCAGCAAGCCAAAACTCCATGTCAGCAGACAGCCCAGTTTAGCATACTTGGATCTCCGCATTCTTCCATGTGACAACGCATGAACCAGTGCTATGTATCGATCTATGCTAACTAAAACCAGGAAATAGATGCTGGAGTAGACATTTATTTTAATGCCCACGTTGACTATTTTGCACATAAATTGTCCGAAAGGCCAATCAAAATCATTGAGGATGTTGACTGCCCAGAAAGGCAAACAGGACACCAGAACAAGATCAGCTGCAGCCAGATTGCTCAAATAGATCTCAGCCACAGTACAGGGCTTCTTGTGGAGGCAGAAAACCATCAGGACAAATAGGTTGAATATAATTCCCAGCACGCTGATGGTCAGAATATACGCAGGCTGATTGGCAGTGAGCCATTTCCAGGCTTCTGATTCAGGACAGTCAGAATTATTGGTGTTGTTATTGTCGATACCCCATGTAGTGATGTTCAAGCCAGGGATGCTGTAAAGAGTGAAAAAGTATTAGACACGCACACACAAACACAAAAAAAAAAATTTAAAAAGCAGAAAACAAGTGAACAACCCAAAAATATGAAATAAAAGTTTGTTTCTTTCATTTAGCTAAAAAAGTTGATTAGAAATGTTACACTAGTCCAGTCTTTGTAGTAAATATTCAGCCGTTTTCCAGACAAAGTTATGAACATTTCCAAATAACTTGTCTTGGCCCACTGTTTTTTTTTTCTTTTGGCATTTTCTCCTACTGGAAATGTTCAAAATTAGGTCATCTTGGAACATTTCCACAGCATTTCCAGTGTTTAGTCATGTTTTAAACAACTGTTAAACATGACTGAACATGTTCAAGTCACAACCAGATTTTATCAAGAACAATGGAAGAAAGTTAGAAGAGGACCTTCAGTATTCCGTATATTTATAGAAAAAATGGTCAAAATAACCATTTTCAACAGTGCAGCCATAAATTCTAACTACCAACCAGGCATCATGTATAATTATTTTACCAGTTTGAGTCATGTGGTACAGTAATTGCCATATTATAGTAATGAGCAACAGGCTCAGCTCTGTCAACTAAACAATCTGTGTGTGTGTGTGTGTGTGTGTGTGTGTGTGTGTGTGTGTGTGTGTGTGTGTGTGTGTG